TACTCGCCGAACCCTTCGTCGCAAGCGACGGGTTCGACGAGAACGGTGACCGGTGCTTAAGGTACCTAAAAGCACCGTTAGTGGATCGGGAGGAAATGACGTGTTTTGGGCGACGTCGACTGTTTACCATCTACCTGACATTTATATCTTAGCATTGCGATATGTGTGCGGTCGCAGCCCTAGCGTGTGCGAGCGTTAAGTGGCGCCGCGGAGTGAAAGCTAGTTACGTAATGAAGTCAGCTGAGCTGTACATTCGCGAACAAAATACGATCGCCTTTTCTTCAATCTGTACATAGCCATATAGCCATAGAGGTCCGTCATCGTGCGCACATTATGCATAAACCCCTTTTTGTTGTTTCGTAAGTAGATTAGCATACAGTCTGATGGTGAGTGGTCAGTGACGTTCACAGGCACAGCCAAGCCTATAAATATAGTGGCGTATTTACGTTGTAGATGTCTATGGGATCCAGGAACCACTTAACACCAGGTGGGCTGTGAGCTTATCCATCCATCGAAGCAATAATTAAAAAATCATTTGATTAACAAAATTCAAATGTATATCGAGTTAAATATCTATACTAATATATAAATCTACAATGGTTTTTACGGATGTTCCTTTATAACTACTGAACCATGCATCCGATTGACTTGAAACTTGGTATCCATGTAGAAAATACATGTACCTAATGGATAGGCTAATATTTATATGAGCGTTGGACTCCCTAATAATAATGACATAAATAATAATGTTAATTTGAAATGCCTAGCGAAGCGGGCGAATACGGCTAGTAAAATATAAAATCGAATCTTTATGTCTGTCTTTGTGATTGAATGCACTAATTCCACTGAATTTCTCCGCCAGATCTTCTGAGTGGATCGTGATTCCGAGCCAGCGGTAGATTCCGCGAAGCTTGCTATGACTAGTGTTGGCAAACTCTCTCAGGTTGAGCCCGTGAGCTCACCTACACGTTCTGGTTTCTAACTGGAATAGCCTCTTAGGTTCCCAGCGAAAAATTAGGGAGAAAATTTCCCTACTATTCATTACTGTGATTGATGAGAATTTAGGTGCTATTTTGTGATTTAATCAAAATCATATCTGATTTCTGCTATTTTTTGTTATTATGCTCTATTTAAGTACATAAAACGTCCTTAGCTTAAAATGGCTAGCAACGTCGTCAGGTTAGAGCCCCGTGAACTCACCTACTTGTTCTGTGTATCTAGAGTATAACACCTCGAGCTCATTAGAATAGAAAAGCTTAAAATGGCCCGTGTATTTGACTCGAATAGATAAAAACGGTGAAAGAATACAATACAACAGAAGAAAAAGAAGCGATGGATCGTGAGTTTAACTAATACTCTATCGCAACGAATAAAAGACATCATCTGTCGAGCATTGAAATAAAATTATATCCCGTCTCTATATCGACTCTACTGCCCCTTTCAGAAACGATGAGACAGGAAAGTGACATAATCTATTCATTCCAGGAACAATGCAATCAATAGAATCGCTTTCAAACCAATTTGATATTTTTTTATTTGCAATGAGCGCTATTTAAGCTCGACTCAAAATCGGATCTCGTGCTGGGTTAATTATATCATACGAAACTAGTGCCCTTTACATTATAGTTCGGGTTAAGATTGACAGTCGTCGTGGCCTAAAGGATAAGACGTCCGGTGCATTCGTGTTTAGCGATGCAACGGTGTTCGAATCTCAGACGGGTACCAATTTTTCTAATGAAATACGTACTCAACAAATATTCACGATTGACTTCCATGGTGAAGTAATAACATCGTGTATAAAAATTAAACACGCAAAATTATAATTTGTGTAATTACTAGTGGTAGGACCTCTTGTGAGTCCGCGGGGGTAGTTACCACCACCCTGCTTATTTCTGCCGTGACGCAGTAATGCGTTTCGGTTTTAAGGGTGGGGCAGCCGTTGTAACTACACTTGAGGCCTTAGAACTTATATCTCAAGGTGGGTGGCGCATTTACGTTGTAGATGTCTATGGGCTCCAGTAACCACTTAACACCAGGTGGGCTGTGAGCTCTTCCACCCATCTAAGCAATAAAGTAAATGCACTACCCACATAACGTAAATGCGCCACCCATTATTTGTAGAATCATTTGTAGAAGTATTTTGTAGAATCATCACATAACAAATTAAAGAACAATAAATGAGTGTCAGTCAATTATATATTAAAAACTGCCGTATCAAATATTCTCAAACGTCTCAAACAGATCTTATCATAATAGCTCGTGGTAAGAAATAAACAACATGATTGAGTTTGCTTGAGACGGTTAGTACAGTTGTTATTCCTGTTCTGTGAATAAACTAATATAATCCTAATTCAACAGAACTTTTCGATCAACTTAAATCCTTTTTTATGATTGAGGGCTTACTGGTAGCCCGGAGACTTTTCCAGTTTCACCAGGACAGGTGGGCGAGCAAAGGCTCAGCCAGGAGGGGTGGGATTTGCTAACAGCTGCCCGAGCGCCTCCGAAAGAGACCGAACAGCTCAAGGATAGCTGCTTAGCGAATGAATCTACTACCGGATTGGAATCACGAACTGGTGAGGAGATCCGGCGAGAAACTCAGCGGGCTGTGTCTATGGGTTAATTTACTAACCGAGCCCTTCGTCTCAAGCGACGGGTTCGGCGAGGACGGTGGCCGGTTCAACCACCTAAATCAATGTCGAAGTCAGTGAAAAGCATTGGCTAAATATAATTAAATACACCACTTACCTTTTCAAGCTGTTAAGAAAAAAAACAACATACAATAAAACACACCCTTTAAACTAGAGTATATCCGTCTTTCTCACTCGAGTGCCAATACTGGAAATAGAGAAAGAGACACGAAATATCTCTATAGCGGCATTACAACAATAATTTAAAAGCATTTCTTTTCAGTAGTGATATTAGTGCATTAGTTTAATAATGATAAATGTGAAAAAGCAAGACATAGTTAGAATTATAGCTGTTTAGGAGAGAGAGAGAGAGAGAGCGAGAGAGAAAAAAATTAGGAAAATAAACAGAATAATACATATTTACAATACACAACACAATGTACCTGGTGACTGGAAAATCTGATGTCCGGTTTTCGGGAACCGGGTCAAACCGGTTTTTTTTTGCCCGGATAATTCTAAATATGTCTTGCCGAACGACCACATCTGAGCTCTGTTAGTTGTGTGAGTTGCGACTGAATCCAATCCTCATACCGATGTGTAATGAAATTACAGTCGAACGTGCCTTGAATTTTTTTTAATTACTAGTTGACCCGGCAGATTTCGTAGTGCCTCAATCGATAAATAAAAGACCTAAGCTTTTGTATAAAATAAACAAAAGGAATCCGTCCGACGGCGGACACATGAAAGGAAAAACAAAATTGTTATTTTTATTTAATTCCGAGCATTTTCATATTTGTCTACCTTTCAAACCTTCTCTGGACTTCTACAAATAGTTTAAGACCAAAATTAGCCAAATCGGTCCAGCCGTTCTCGAGTTTTAGCGAGACTAACGAACAGCAATTCATTTTTATATATATAGACTAGCTGACCCGACAGACTTCGTAGTGCCTCAATCGATAAATAAAAGACCTAAACTTTTGTATAAAACAAACTTAAAACAAACAAAAGGAATCCGTCCGACGGGGGAAACATCATACGAAAAACAAAATTGTTATTTTTATTTCATTCCCAGCATTTTCATATTTATCTAATTAGCCAAATCGGTCCAGCCATTCTCGAGTTTTAGCGAGACTAACGAACAGCAATTCATTTATATATATATAGATAGATTTATATTCATACGATTTGAAACTAATTAACTAATTTTGAATACGCTTTTATTAGTTCTTTATTTTTTTGCTTAGATGTGTGGGCGTACTCATAGTCCACCTGGTGTTAAGTGGTTACTGGAGCCCATAGACGTCTACAACGTAAACGCGCCACACACCTTGAGATATAAGTTCTAAGATCTAAGTATAGTCACAACGGCTGCCCCGCCCTTCAAACCGAAACGCATTGCTGCTTCACGGCAGAAATAGGCGAGGCGGTGGTACCTACCCGTGCGGACTCACAAGAGGTCCTACCACCAGTTCTATTTGTATACGACGGAATCATTTAAGGTCCTTTTCCACTAACTTCAAGATTAACTTGAAAATTCGCATAAGTGTCAAGGATCAGTATCATTCCACTTCCTGATCGGTAACAACAGAAAAAAGTTATAATCAGTTTTTTGTTTGGTTCGCTGTGTTTTTTTTTTAATTCTTTTTAAACTACACCTCTATATATATATATTTATTCTGTGCGTGTGTTTGTCATTGAACTCCTCCTAAACGGCTGGACCGATTTTAATGAAATTTTCTATGTACCCTCAGGTGGATTCGAGAATGGTTTAGATTTACCAATCAGCCCGGCAGATGGCGCTGCAGTCGGTATCTAGCTTATTTATCTTTCCTAGAAATAATGTACATGGCAAAACAACGTTAGCCGGGCCAGCTAGTACACACAACGGCTCCAACGATTTTCATAAAATTTAGTATACAGGGGATTTCGTGGGCGATAAATCGATCTAGCTACGATTTATTTTCAGAAAATGTTGTTTTATTCGTGTTTTCATTAATCAACTCTTCCCGACATCTATTGGCGAATAATAATACTATTTTTCTTAATTGAGGGCAACTAACCGCTTTAAAGAGACAGCAAGATGGCGTTATAAAAAAAAAAAACCCAGCAAAGCTCGGTCATAATCTAGTGCTAATTATTCGTCTAAAATTCATTACACAGCGGTGTGAAAACTGTTACGGTAGTCGCTTTCGTGTTTTCATCTTCTCCTGCATTTTAAGGAACGTTGCGATGATAATGATAACGATGATAAATCGTCATTACAAACGCTCCCTTACCGTTAACATTTGCAAATTAAATACGTAATAATATTAAAAATGTGAAAAATTAATTCTTTGAGTTCCATCGCAACGTTCCGAAATTAATGCCTCTTACTTTCGTCATTCACGACAGGCCCGTAACTAAATCCCTCGTTCGGATACTCAATGGAGTTCGAATCCTGAACTCCGAGGACGCCCGCTTTCGCGACTCTGTGGCAGCAGCCTTTGAGTAGCCCGCCGCAGGTACCGTCCAAGAGGCCTCCGACCATCCAACAGTAAAAGAAAAACTCGCAGGAACCACCCTGGGGGCAGTTTTCGTCTCGCCTGTCCGCGGTGACCGGTAGCTCTTTGGCTTTTCGCTTCGACTGTACCGGGACGTTTAGAATCTCATTCATTCTTTCCATTTGTTCATCAGTGATCGGTTTGAATTCCGGCAATACGATGTTGCGTTTACTTATGTTCGGGAATAGTGAATTGTCGTCGCTTTTTCTTACACCTTCAGTCTGAACGAACATGGGCTTTCGTAGCTTTTGATCGGCTTTATTACGAGCTCGATGTGGTACGTTGGCATCTGTGCGGGATGGAAAAAAAAGAATGAAGCTTTAATATAAATATATACAAAAAAATAAGTCGGTTTTGTTAAATAATAGATAGATAGTTTAGTTGTGCGGTAAAGCTAAAATTAGTAATTAAATTAATCCGATGATAGCTTAGGTAAGACCAGTGATGACGGTAAAATCGGTAATTGTTTGGGTGAAATTAGTAATAAGTTTAACTTACCGATTGCATGGGTAAGATTAGTAATAAGATATTATTTTGTTATAGTGCATGTAAATTCGAATTCAGAGCTATTAATTAGTGGACAGTACATTATACAAGAAAGCTCATTACGAGCGAAAAAGGTTATTGCAAGATAAACGGAAAACAATATCAATTCACAAGCTTAAAAGACGAACAAAACCGAATTGAATTGAAATTTATAATATTTATTAATTGAATTGAATTATTTAATTCAATATTTATAAATTTTAATTGAATTAATTTAATTGATTGTAATGTAATAAACACGTTTGATGTTTGACTTATTTATATCAATAAAATGCACACAGGTAAACGTGACAATAGATGAATATCGGCGCGTGTGGAAGATTGAGAAATAAAAGCAATGCTTGTTTTTTTCCCCCCACCTATTCACTGGAGGCTTAAGGCTGTTAAGTGCTTACTGCCATAGTTACAACGGCTGCCCCACGCTTCAACCCGAAACGCATTACTGCTTCACGGCAAAAATAGGCAGGGTGGTGGTACGTACCCGTACGGACTCGCAAGAGGTCCTACCACCACGTTTAAATGTATCCTAATATAGATAATAAACAGCCAAATAATGAGCAAGCAAAACTGTTCATCAAACAATGTTTGTCGGGTAGGTACCACCACCCCGCCTATTTCTGCCGTGAAGCAGTAATGCGTTTCGGTTTGAAGGGTGGGGCAGCCGTTGTAACTATACTGAGATCTTAGAACTTATATCTCAAGGTGTGTGGCACATTTACGCTGTAGATGTCCCTGGGCTCCAGTAACCACTTAACACCAGGTGGGCTGTGAGCTCGTCCACCCATCAAAGTAATAAAAAAAAAAAAAATGTGGGAATCGAACTCGTGACCATCGTGGCAAGGGCCATTTTCTCCTACCTATTCACTGGCAACCTAAAGGGGCTATTTTAGCTTTAAGCGAATGGGTAGGTGAGCTCACCGGGTCGCAGAACCACCGGATCGGAATCGCGACCCACTGAGAAGATACGGCGAGAAACTCAGTGGGCTGTGTCTATGAGTTAGTTCACTCGTCGAACTCTTCGTCGTAATCGGCGAGGACGGTGACCAGTGCAGCAACCGCCATGATCACGGGTAGACTAGAGAGACGCAAAGGGCAAACAAATCTGGCTACCTTCTTTCTAGTCTGCGGTCCTTACCATTGAATCTCGACGCTTCTCCTCGACGATCCACACATACGATAAAACAGATTTTCACTTTTAATGAATTCCCAAACATTTCTGGTGGTAGGACCTCTTGTGAGTCCGCGCGGGTAGGTACCACCACTCTGCCTATTAAAATTTCTGCCGTGAAGCAGTCATACGTTTCGGACTTCGGTGTGAAGGATGGGGCAGCCGTTGTAACTATACTTGAGACCTTAGAAATTATATCTTAAGGTGGGTGGCGCATTTACGTTGTAGATGTCTATAGGGCTCCAGTAACCACTTAACACCAGGTGGGCTGTGAGCTAGTCCACCCAGCAAGCAAAAAAAAACCGCTATGAATAAACCCGTTAAAGTACTATATTACTTTTGTTTTAAACCATTCTTTATGCTGGCCACTCACATGTTTAAAGGGCCGTCAAACATTCATTCACAAACTTTGCGGCAAATGGGTTCGGTACTCAATTTGCGAACCCGTTTGCGCTTCCTCCTACACTTGTTTACGAATCTCTCACGAATTTCTCCTCCTTTTTAATTCGTCAATAGAACATTGAAGAGAAAAAGAGTTTTGACATCTTTCCCAGACATAATTAACAGCCATGCTGTTTTCATGGGTCTTCTTTTGATGAAGATACGCTACACACTAGACGTCACGATCTATGAAAATAGCGAAACGTCCGTCGCCTTCGCAATCCTGGGCGCAACTGGTCACACGAATGTGTGGGAGACTCGCGAAGAATCGCGGTTCGCGCGCTTTGATGTCTGTTAAAAAACCGACACAGCTTGGAAAACCGCGAATGCAGCGAACACTTTGCACAATCATTTGCAAATGTCGTCCTACACTTGCGGGTTTGCGTATTCGTGCGAATGTGAGTGACCGGTGTTACAAACATGCGGCAGCCGCACAGCGCAACTATTACAAAATAAAACGCGTATTATTATTAATTGTAAGAGCAATTAATTGCGTACGTTCGAACGTTCGGGAACATAAATGTGAAAGCTAAAACAGTATTGAGTAACAACACCTTCGATCCATACGATTAGTGACAAAACTTTTGGGTAAAGTAATATATTTATTGACCAATATTGTTAAAACTGTTTGTACTGTGTAATGGGAATGCAATCTGTATATTAATACGTGAAGCAAAAACTTTGTATCCCTTTTTACGAAAATTGCGCGGACGGAGGAGTATGAAATTTTCCACACTTATAGAGAATAGAGAGAAGAAGTGCACAATGCTAATTTTTTTTTTTAAATAATGCATAAAAGATACATTAAATCAATAAAGAAAACATTACACACACTACATACCATGTATTTGACGCACACACGCCTGCATACTATTTATTGTCAAACTTTTGTTCTTGACGTCTGTGGTCAAATTGAGAATAGATTAAATATTGTTTGTCTTTTTGTTAATATTTTTATAGTGTAGCCTTGGCGAAATTTGTGATTATAGAAGTATAAAATACAATCATAATAGTGTACAAACTTACAATTCCAATTAATTATAGTCGAATTTCGACTACTGCGGGATCTCTAGTTATTTTTTATTGCCTAGATGGGTGAACTAGCTCACGGCCCAGCTGGTATTAAGTGCTCATCGAAGCCCTTATGCATCTACAACGTAAATGCCGCCACCCGCCTCGAGATATGAGTTCTAAGGTCTCAGTTGTTACAGTACAACGGCTGCGTCACCCTTCAAATCAAAATGCAATACTGCTTTACAGCAGAAATAATCAAATAAATAATAATGCACGAACCAGACGACAAGGAACGAATTGACCCTTTACTAGGTGGGCTGTGAGCTCACCCACCCATCTATGACATAAAAATAAATATATAAAAATATATAAGTGTGTGTCGCACTTTCTGGTTTCCATAGTTTCCCGACATTCTTACAGAGAATGCCCTAAACATATCATTACGGATCCTCCCGATCCATTAACAGTGCTTTTAGGTACCACAAGCACCGGTCACCGTCCTAACCTAAACTAGCCCATAGACACAGCCCACTGAGTTTCTCGCCGGATCTTCTCAGTGGGTTGCAATTCCGATTCGGTGCTAGACTCTGCGAAGCACTGCTCTTGCTAAGGCCAGTGTTAGCAACACTGCCGGTTTGAGCCCCGTGAGCTCATCTACACGTCAGAGAGAAGCTGAAATAGCGTCTCAAGGCTGTCAGCATAGGTAAGAAAAAAAAAACGAACCAATCGACAAGGAACGAATTGACCATTCTCTTATGTACATAAAATAGACGACAAAAGAACAAATCGACCGTTCACTAGAGGGGCTGTGAGCTCACCCACCCAGCGATGCCACAATCTACCCCACAAAAAATATATATAAGTACCTACTAGCTGACCCGGCAAATGTTGTTTTGCCATAATTATATAAGATTTCTAGGGAATTTCTAGTGTAGAAAAAAACTAACTTATTGTAAGTGTGTAAGGATTGTGGTAAATGAGTGAAAATTTAGGGTTGTATGTATTTTTGTATGCTGTATCATAAAAAAATGAAAACAAAAAAATTGTCTAAAAAATAAAAAATAAATTTTAGGGGTGGACCGGACTATCCTTAACATTAAAGGGGATGAAAAATAGATGTTGTTCGATTTTCAACTCTGACCGATATGCACGCTAAGATTCACGAAAATCGGTCAAGCCGTTTCGGAGGAGTTCAATCACGCACCCCGTGACACGAGAATTTTATATATTAGATGTGTCGCACTTTCTGGTTCCCATAATTTCTCGACATTCCCGCAGAGAATCCTAGTTTGGGGCCAGATAAAACTGTGTGACTGGCCCCTCGGCTAATGTTATTATATTTTGAACACCGCTCATGTTCACTATATGAGTCGTCTATTATCAAAGGTGGGGCGGGTAATCTGTGCATTTGGACAAAAAAAAAATATTGATATATCAATACAGATTGATTTAAATATAATCATCTCCTTCAAAGAATACGGTTCAAAACCTGCATTAAATAAAGGTTAATACTTAACCTGTTATTTATCTAAGATGTCGTTCAGAAGAGTTTTGTGACTGCCAATGGAATACAAAGTCAATAATTCGTTTTTCTGATTTACCAATAATTGTCCAAAAGTCACATTGCCGGCTTTGATAATAGTCGACTCATATAGTTCCGTGTTGGGTAATGCGCGTTGCTTTACTCGAAAGTCGATTTCGGAATAAAGAAACATATTGGAGGTCCGGAGAGAGTGATTCAGACAGACGGGAACACCAGATATTAACTATATACTAACTGAACAGTAACTATATATATTTTTTTTTTTTATTGCTCAGATGGGTGGACGAGCTCACAGCCCACCTGGTGTTAAGTGGTTACTGGAGCCCATAGACATCTACAACGTAAATGCGCCACCCATCTTGAGATATAAGTTCTAAGGTCTCAGTATAGTTACAACGGCTACCCCACCCTTCAAACCGAAACGCATTACTGCTTCACGGCAGAAATAGGCAGGGCGGTGGTACCTACCCGTGCGGACTCACAAGAGGTCCTACCACCAGTGATTACGCAAATTATAATTTTGCGGGTTTGACTTTTATAACACGATGTTATTCCTTCACCGTGGAAGTCAATCCTG